ACATGAGTTTTGCAATCAATTACATAATCACATTTTTTCAGGATTTACAAAGATATAAAGACATGAAAGAAATAAAACTAAATTTATTCATAAATAATCTCTCTTGCCGCTGATCTTATTAAACACCTTAACATTTTTTGATAAAATGATCCGCAATGATCATAAGTTATTTTATTAAAAGATTCTACAATAAGAAGTCTCGATTTATTTTCATTCAAAGCATCCCCGTGCACAACTTAATTTTTCCAAACAGAAAAAACATTTTCTATCGGGTTTAGAAAAGGTGAGTAAGAGGGTAAATACTTTAGAGTGTACTGAGAAAGTTCATTGTCTTCCATAAGTCCCCTGTAATGATGAATTCTAGTATTATCCATTATAAAAACAGGGGAATCAATTCCTTTCTCAGTACAAACAGCCTTAAATTCTCGAAAAAAAATTTTAAAATCTTCTCCGTTTACTATTCTTTCATGAACTTTATGGAAAATCATTTCATATTTGTTCATTACTGCCACAACAGAAATATTTCTACTTCTGGAAGCAGGGACAGTGAGGTATGCAGATTGTCCCTTTAAAGATCTGCCTCTACTTGAGGCGTGTCACCACCGAAAAACCTACCTCATCGAGAAAGACAAAGTTTTTATCTTCATTCTCTGCTTCCAGAGTACGATATTGACACTCGTAATCAGCCCTTGCTTCAATAGTGCTTTGACTATTTCTACGCTCAAGGACTAATATAATTCGTTTTAAAGTGTAGTGGAATTGACGTAGATATCGATCAATAGTACTGATTGATACGTCGATGTCGTAAGTCTCGATGACTTTAATTCTTAAATCTTTTAACCTAAGAATGGGTTCATCATCCACCCAGGCAAGAACTGCTTCTTTTTTTATCTAAACTAAGTTTAGAACGCCTGTCACCACCACGAGATTGTAGTAAAACCTTATCAGAAGTATTATAGCGTTTAACAATGCTATTTACAGTCTGATAAAGCATTACTAGCATATCTGCTATGGCAAAAACCGAGTGACCTTCAAGTGACTTAAACACTATCCTTTGTCTGTCATCATTAGAGACAAGTTTACGTTGCCTCCTCAGACCCGGCTGCTGCCCCTTACCAGAGCTGCTATTGCTTTCGCCTCACTAGCTTTGCATACTGCTTCCACCTCATTTATTATATTTAAATAATTGTTTAAATTTTTTTGACTCATAATGGGTAAAAATATTTTTCGTTTTATGTATTATAAATCCTGAAAAAAATCTTATTATGTAATTGATTGCAAAACTTATTCATATGGTTGCAAAAAATATGATATTAATTACAAAATTACAAAAATTGCAGTTGAATTATTCAATTGATTGCAATAGTTATTCAATTGGTTGCAATGATTATTATATTGATTGCAAAAACCACTTGAGAATTCTAATTTTTTCGATTGGTTACAACAGTTATTCAATTGGTTGCAATGATTATTATATTGATAGAAATCCTGTGAAAAAATATCTGAAAAACTGTTCAAAAAAAAGTGACCACTTTAAATTTTCCCTCTAAAATTAACATAAAAACGATGTTTTTGTACTAACCAATAGGTAGAAAATTAAATTTTGAAACTAAAGTTTTGATTTGTGAGGATTTAAAGCAAGGATTGAGTCAAAAGGTTATTTCAGAAAAAAGAAATGTTTCAAAAACCATAGTTTTTAATATTAATAAAAAGTTGTTAGTAAACTTACCAATCACCAGAAAATTTGGATCTGGTCGTAAAGAACTTTAAAATAATTCATTGAAAAATAAAATTTATTCTATTTATGACAAAAATCATAAACAAGTTATTATGGAAATCAAGAGCAAATCTGAAAAAAAGTTTTATGATAACTGTTTCAAAGTCTACTATTTCAAGAGTATTAAGTAACTTTTGATTAATAACTGCTAAACCAGCTCAAAAATCTCTGTTAAGACCTCAAAACATACTAAAAAGAAAAAAACTTGCTGAAAAATTTTTAGGTATTTCGAATGATACCTTGATACCATCATTTTTTCTGATGAGTGTAAGTTTAATCTTTTTAACATCTGATGGTATTAAACATGTTCGTTATTTACCAAGTGAAAGGTATAAATTTAAAAATACAGTAGGTATAGTTAAACATGGTGGTGGAATTATAATGTTCTGGGGATGTATATCATTCAAAGGTGTTGGAAAACTTGTTGAAATTAAATCAACGATGACAGCTGGAGCTTATAAACAAATTTTAGCTCAAAATTTAAATATTTCAGCTAG